TTTTGGTAGGAGTTACAAGACCATGGCAAGAAAGGCCATATAAAAACGATCCATTGCACCACAAAGACCCTATTTCCAAACAAGGTCACATTCACAGGTATAGTTAGGACTTCAACACGCTTTTTTGTGGGACACAGTTTAATCCATAACAAGATATAAGCTTCACACTAGCAGATTTTAAATTCTTATCCTTCCGTAAACATTGCATTCTACCCGGGAATCAGTGGCACACTTTGTTTCTAGAGCAATTTTGTAGAATTTGGAATTGTTCCAGCTCCCTGGGCACAGTTTGGGTTCCCAACGCTGGTGGCACTACCCATTCCTGTGGTTACATAGCAAAGCCCACAACATCAGCACAGTGATTGCAAAGATGCAGACACAGCTTGACCTGAGCCATTTTCAGCCTGCCACTCTCTGTTTCTACGTGACCACTTGGAGACTTCGTTTGAATTTAAAATTTTTTGCTGCAGAAACACCTGAAAAGCCCCAGAACCGACCCCGAGGAAACAAAGACGGAGACAGTATCATAATTTCTAGAACTTACCTTGAATTGGAAGCGTTAGGAATCTCCACCAAACTCATCCTATATGAGGGCTCTCTCTGTTTGTACGTCTGTGGCTTCAGGTGAAAGAAAATCTTTCAAAATTCAGATGAATTAAAAAGGATTCTTTCATCAACTATGAACAAAAAAATAGATGGGCGAACCTGGCTGGACGGTCTACTGACCACGAGCGACAGCGAGAAGTGGACCAAAAATCACTGTCCAGTTTGGAGACATCAAGACTCAGAACCAAGACTGAACCACTTTGCTATTCATTACTGTGAAAAGCCAAAACGTTGGTATAAGCGCCCCTCCTTTGAAAAAAAAAAAATTCAACTAATTAAGGTTTTAAGTCATCCCTTTTTCCTTTTCTGGTGCTGTAATGTTCATTTGGAGTCCCTGCATAGAGTAAAGGCTCCTGAGTGTCGAACATGGTTTCCACTCAGCTGCTCACTAAAGAGGAGCCCTGGTAGCACAATGGTTAAGCGCTCAGCTACTAACCGAAAAGTCAGCAGTTCGAACCCACCAGCCACTCTGTGGGAGAAAAGACCTGGCAACGTGCTATCATAATTGACTTGCCCACACACAGCAACAACAATCCCACTGATGCTGAGTCGATTCTGACTCGTAGCAACAGATAAGACAGAGCAGCACTGCCGCATAGGGTTTCCAAGGCTGTAAATCGTTACATAAGCTGACTGCCACATATTTCTCCTGTGCCACCAGGGCTCCTAATTACAGCAATAACTAAGCTAAAGGTTGGAGGTTTGAACCTACCCAGCAGCACTGTAAGAAAGACCTGGAGATCTGGTTTCGCAAAGATTACAGCCAAGCAAACCCTGGGAATCAGTTTTACTCTGTAACACCTGGGGTCTCCAGGAGAGCAGTTTTACTCTGTAACACCTGGGGTCTCCAGGAGAGCAGTTTTACTCTGTAACAC